CAGAGTGCCAGCTGCTCTAATATACAAAGACAGTCATTTTGCCCTTCACTCCCTCAAAGAGCTTTCAGTCTACTTTCAGGAACATAATATACCTTACTTATGTGTGGCCTAAGATATTCAAAATTAATATGAAGTACTGTATATGCCTCTAAATCATATGTGGTGTTATATACCAATATGCATTGGAGCAAAGAAAATTTGTTCAATAAATGGTGCTGGGAAAACTGGGTTGCTGAATGCAAAAGAATGAAGCTTGACAACTACCTCACACCATACACAAAAACCAACTCAAAATGGATTAAAGAACTAGACATAAGACCTGAAACCATAAAATACATAGAATGAAATATAGGTGAATAACTACATGATGTTCACCTCGAAGACATCTTTACAGACACATCACCCAAAGCAGTGATAATGAAGGCAAAGATAAACAGCTGGGACTACATCAAATTAAAGAGCTTCTGCACAGCAAAAGAGACAATAACAAAAACAAAGAAAAAACCCACCGACTGGGAGAACATTTTTGCACACAACACTAATGATAAAGGACTGATCACAAAAATCTACAAAGAGCTGATGAGACTCAACAACAACAAAGAAAATAAACCAGTCAAAAAATGGGCAGAAGAGCTAAAAAGAAACTTCTCTGAAGATGAAATGCAAATGGCCAACAGGCATATGAAAAAAATGTTCAACATCACTTGTAATCAGGGAAATGCAAATCAAACTACAATGAGATACCATCTTACACCAGTGAGAATGGCACATATTAAAAAAAAAACAAAACTAGCAACAACAAATGTTGGTGAGGATGTGGAGAAAAAGGAAATCTCCTGCACTGTTGATGGGAGTGCAAACTGGTCCAACCACTATGGAGAGCTGTGTGGAGATTTCTGGACCTACTCAACATAGAGCTTCCATATGATCCAGCAATTCTACTCCTAAGTATTTACCCAAAGGACACAGAAACATCAATTCCAAAGAGCACCTGCACCCCTATGTTTATAGCAGCACTGTTTGCAATAGCTAAGCTTTGGAAACAACCCAAATGCCCAAAAATAGATGACTGGATCAAGAAGATGTGGTACATATATACCATGGAATATTACTCAGCATTCAAAAAAGATAAACACATGCAATTTGCAGCAACATGGATGGCGCTGGAGGGATCATGCTCAACGAAATAAGCCAGAAAGAAAAAGAAAAGAAAAATACCGGATGGTCTCACTCATAGCAGGAATCTAGAAAACTTAAATAAGGGACCAGGAAAAAGAATAACTATAAGAAAGTAAAAATCAAAATCAACAAACAACTATGAACCAGAGACACTCTATGAGGGGTGAGGGGCGGGGAGGGGAGGGATTGGGGTCAAAATAAAGGGGTCACAATTGTATGGGGAATATAAAAATAAAATTTATAATAAAAAGACAAAAAAAAAGAAAATGTTACAATGTTTTTAATTAAAAAGTAAAAATAAAAAATAGATAAAATTATTTAAAAATTTGAATATGTGATTCAAATCACTCAAGTCTAGACTATATTTCTGGGAGTAGGGGATGGCAATCCAAAAAAAATGTCAATAACTTTAGCATTTTCTCTGCTCTTTTAGTCATAGAATCACAATATATTAATGACAAAACAGTCTTTGCCGGAGCCCACTATCACAGTTTTATTTTTTTTAAGATTAATTAATTTATACATACAACAACAGGGGTACAGACCATAGGCGCAGGGGGGTGTGGAAGGATTCAGCAGAGAAAGAGTGGGGGGCAGAACAGGCAGATCTACTGAAATACACTACTGAGGGTAGCAGAGGGGGAGACAGGAGAGGTCTGCTGTGCCATGTGGCTAGCTCCCTGGCCGGTGTTCAGGGATCAGACTTGTGCTGCAGTGACTGCAGATAGCTTCATAGTGCTGAGACAACCTCCTGAACCACCAGGGAGGCCCCGCATTATCACAGATTTATAATGGGAACACTGATGGGAGAAGGGACATGCCCAAGAACACATTCCTAGTTGCCATTTTGGAATATACAATTAATCAATCAGCAATGGGACAAATAAAGGAAATTTAAATTAATATTCCTTCAAGGTGATCAAATGTTTAAGCCAAAACCCAAATCTTATGAAATCTGTTGTTTGAGTGTTCAGTAGGGGGACTCTGCATTGATTCCTTCTTTTATTCATTGGCTGAGTAGAGGTATAGTATGCACTGAATATGCAAATTAATAAATTTGGGAACAGTTCGCAGCATCTGAACATATGTTGAGCAAAATTTAAAGGTTTTTTTTTCAAACAATGGAGTCTAAGAATATAAATACTTAGTTTTTTTTTTAAAGATTTATTTATTTATTTATACAAGCACTGGGTACAGTCAGAAGCAGGGGAGGGTAAGAGAATTCACCACAGCCAGAGCAGGGAGCAGAGCAGGCAGAAGGGCCAAGGTGCACTGCTGAGGGGAGCAGCGGGCAGCAGGAGAGGTCTGCGCGCCATGTGGGAACCTCACCGGCAGCCAGGAATCGAACCAGCGCTGCAGAGGCTGCGGGCAGCCTTGCAGCCCAGTGCTCACCCTCTGCGCCACCAGGGGAGGCCCTAAACACTTAGGTTTTTACTGACATGATGCTTGAACATAATATATGTTTCCTTTGATTGCTAGACTTGGTTTCCAAATAGGATCTTGGTAGTACTTTTGGTATGAGGTAACCAAGACTGACTTCTGTTGATGCTCTGCCTTTTAGAGCTATTATACAGCATGCCATAATTCAGGATAAAAGCCAGTTGGGAAGCAGTATGAACAGTCTTACTAGGTAAGTTATTACTGACACTACTGTCACAAGTCCTGCCATTTGTCACTTACTACACATGTGCATATGTATCATGTCATTTGATCACCAATATAGTTCTCTGAGAGTAGTTTCTCTAAATTACAACTGCATAAATTGAGGTTTGGCAGAAGGTAGTAAATAATGGAGCTAGGCCTTTCTTCAGGAATCCTTATACATTGTGGACATTTCTTGAAATTTGACATCCTGAAACTGTATTTCCTACCATGGTCCCATGTACACAGTAGATACTCAGTAAATATTATGGAGATGAAACTGAAATGAATGCCAGCCATAGCATTTCTAAGCTACTTTCTGTTGTATTGATGAAACCTGTTCAGATTTGAGCACTATCCAATAATTCATTTGAAAACTTACTATATCACTATCCTTAAGAATTTGATGTATAAATTTGTGCCTGACTATGATATGGAATAGAGAAATTACCTGTTATAAGTAGACCTGTTTTCAAAGGAAACTCACTGTGATCATGTCACAGAGTGCTTTATAATGGAAAATATTGGTTGAGACATGAATCTAATTTTAAGGTTTGGACTCAAAGGTTATGGGCACTTATGTTACAATTAAACTTTGCCTGCAATGAACAATTCATATCAGCATATGGGAAATCTAAGGGTTCTTTACCTAGGGGCCTCCACTTCTTATACATAATTCAGAGATGGGTAATTAAGTGAAAGCTGAGTGAATCAGAACCCAACCATGGGGTCACAACATTCATATGGAGAAAATACCTTCTTTGTCAATCATTTTTCATCTTTCTTATTTTTTTCTTTTTCTTCCTGTACTCCCCCACCCCATTGCTGCTTCTTTTCTTCTCCTTACTATAGACAACAATTGTATAATTCCCTTAGGGTAAGTCAAACAAACAAGAACAAGTTGAGTCTCATTTGATGTGGCAACATGGAAAACCACTCACAGAGCATCTTTCTGTGATTTCTGGTAGTACTAGATACTACTTGAGAGTTATCTGTTGAAACTGTCTTAAAGTAAGCCTAGTTCAATTCATTTGTGGTACTGGATCTGTTTAAAGACTTTACTATTCTTTAGAAGGGGAGAGTACAGTTATCCATATAAAACCCACACATGGTTATAAAACAACTTAGTTTCTGTAAATATGCACTTAGATGACACTATATTGAACACCTCACAGAAAGCCAGAGATGGATAAGTGTTCTAAATTAGCCTGGGTATGGGGAGGAGACAGAACAGGATTCTAGATTCTTGAGTTTTCCAGGATGATAATGAGCAATCAGATATGAGGTTACAGTTTCAAACATTCAGAAATAGGCTTGCATCTTTTTTCAAGTTCCATTTTCAAATCAAAGTAGATTAATGAGCTTTCTTTCTCATGAAGGTGAATCTTTTTGGAATTGGCAGGCAACAGGAAGGACCCTGGCACTGAACAGTTGTAAACATGAAGAAAGGAAGAAATTGGAGTGGGAATGTATGTGTCAGTCAAGTTTTTATATAATGATGAAAGAGCTCATGGTTGATACAGAGTAGGGAACAGAGAAACTTATGATTGGGACAATCACCCTTGAAAAGCTGTATCTTCCATATGTCAAGTAATTGTGCTACAGAAAAAAAAATGTTTTTGGAAATGATCAATAGATTTGCAAAGAAAAGGAAATAATTAAACGGCTGCTCATCCCTGGGAGATGTGTGATAGGAAATCACACCTGGCAGCATAATCATAGGCTCCAAAGAGAAGCAGCTTCTCATTCCAGGTGGCCAGCTTTACAACATGTGCAACATTTAAATGAGGGATATTCCTAGTTATTCAGGGCCAGACTGTGCCTGGGTCATCTTGCACCTGTGATTGTTATTGACCCCTGGGTTCTCGCATCCTAGACACCACTTAACAATATAAGGTCAGAATAATTGTCCCTTGCAGAACCAAGGAGTTGACATTCATTCACTCTCTGATAGGTCTTGATATCTGCTTCATACCTTGTGCTCCTATACTGAGCCCCAGATCAGGATATAGCATGGTTAATGATAAAGAAAGGTACAGCTGGCTGAGCACCATATTAGGCATAAAATGGTCAGCCTACCGGATGGCTGGCCTTCATGAACTCTAAAGAGGGAACTCTGATTAAAAAAGACAATTAGGGAGGGACAAGGAGTTGTACAAAAAGGAGGGAAAGCATCATACCTCCCAGAGTCATCCCTGCTTCATAGCATTTCCGTAGGCGACAAGATGGACAATTCTTCCTTCGGAATTTGTCAATAGTACAGTCATTTCTGCTGGCACACAAGTACTTCTGTTTTCCTGAGAGAATAAATACAAGAGTAGACAGCTCGGTTAATGTGTTTTCAGTCTCTTTCCTTGAGTATTTATAGGCATAAAGGGCATGAAGTTACATCATGATAGATGAGAGAAATAAGTCGAAAATGACCCGAAACAGTAGATTGGTTTAATTCATGTATATATAAAATACAAGCAGACTGAAATACACATACTTCCTCAGAGATGTTTTTCATAGGGATGAACAAGTCATGTTCTACTTATACCTCATTTATTAGAACTACTCACTGTTTCCCCCCCCCCCCGGGGAGTTGGAAGACAAGATAAGGAAGAGAGAAGTCAAGGAAGCTTTGTTCAGGGAATGTGAAAAATAGATGGTTTGATAGGATTTGCAATGCTGGGCTCTGGACGGAGGATGCTGCTGCCCAGCGTCTTCTGAAAACTCTTGATTGGGGAAGGTTTTCAGTGAGGTGGAGGGACTATTTAGACATCCCTCCATGTTGTCTATTTTTTAAATAAGATGCTCTAACTTTACTGACGAATTCCCATGAAAAAATGCTTAGTGTTGGAAATTGTCACTCCTTTAGCAAAGTGCAGCAGACTTGTGCTCTAGCAATGTTTCCTCCTCCTGACTCCTGCAATCATTCATAAGATCATACAGGCACTAATAAGATGTTTATGCTTCATATTACCAATACGGATACAACTTGGGTAAAACTAGAACTCTGTGGAATTTCTTTTTTTTTTTTTTATTTCTAGTGATCATACCTACAATCCTGCAGGTTATGAAAAAATAAAAGATAGTTTCACCATTCTTTGTGAAATAAATCACAATAGGTGAAAAGAAGTCCTCTGAAGTCAGCAGAAGAAAGCAGATTAGTGGTATGCAAAACTGTATTTGTCACATATACACAGAAACACACACATAGACACACACACAAGTACATGCATTCACAGTCAGAGATCTTCAGGGTCACTGCTTAAAGACACCAGGATCCACTCAAAAACATATTTTACTCAATACTTTGTTCTCTTGTTCCTTGTTCCTAACACTGGCCTGGCATATAGTAGGCCTTCAATCAACATTGAATGACTGAATTTACAAATGGCACAGAGCGATCCAAAAGAACACATAGTCATCAGTAGAAATAGACAGAGATACATATCCTGCTGCTCTGAAACATGCAGAATGAACTTCTCATGTTCACAGACCTGCCCCCGTCTCAGCTTATATATCTCCTCTTCTATATCTCCTTTCTTTCTTCCAGTCCCTGGTGCCTCTTGTCATGTTTATAGTTGGGCTTTAGTTTACAGACAGGACTAGGGCTTTAGGGAGTCCTTTTTGGCAGAGGAGAAATGTTTGTGGTAGGGAAAATAAATAAAAATTGTAGGGCAACTGCTAACAGGAAAACAACCACATACATTTAACATATCTACTACAGTAGGTTATTTTATGTAAGAGATTTAGTAGTAACCAGATAAACAAAGCTTTTCCCTCCCTTTGTCCATCCCATTCTTCCCCTTGCCAAAGTACTCCAGAAATGGTCAGGGAGGAACCTGAAGGGAAGAAATTTCCATTAGTAGGCACGTACAATGAACCACACACAATTTTGGGGTTTTACATATGCTACTTAAATGAACATCCTCAGCAATGCTTCGAACTAGTTATTATCATCATTTTCATTTACAGATTTGCAAAGGAAACTAAGGCTTATAGGCCAGTATTCTTTCTACCATACCACATGATTTTATTTGTATAAACAGAACACAAAATTTACTATCAGCTTTTTTTATGTTGCAAATTGAAGCCTATAATATTGCACAGAAAAAAAAAATAGTGTGATGGTGCGATTCAGCCTTTGGGCATCATCTCCTAAAAGGCAGACCTTCCAGTGGGTTTATTCCCAGTATAACAGGTGTTCTAACTGGGATAACCCTACAGTATTGGTGCTTCTGGAATACTCAAATCCAGTTTGTCTTGCTTAGTGAAATTAGCTCATGCTTAGTAGTACTTGATTTCTCTGAGGAATCTCATCTTCCAAAAGAAAATATTTGCTCCTGGACACCAGTTTTCTGAGGAATGGTTGCATGGCCAATGGAATAGGGATCCCAGAGGAATTGTACATTCCCATCTAAAAGAAGGTCACTCTATGACTGAGAAAAGTTACAGACGAAAAAGTGTGACATTGTATTTTCAATTTGCAACATAGATCATTGTCCTACCTATAGTTCATATCTTGTCTCAGAATGTCTTCTGGCCTAAAACAAGCTGAATAAAGCAAATATATACTTTTTAATTTACCCAAGAATAAGTGCAAAGCCTTTTGTAAAACTAATGTAACTGCATGTTAATTTAGCATGTACTGAGCATCAGTTTTGCACTAATTACTGTAATAGGTGTTGGGGATACAGAGGACAATCTCTGCTGAACAAAAATATTCAAGTCCCAGATAACAAAGAGGTACTGGGTGAGAAGTGACAAGATTTTATTTTAATTCTTTAAAGATTTATTTATTTATTTATTTATTCATTCAAGCACTGGGTACAGTTAGAAGCATGGGAGGGTGAGATAATTCACAAGAGCCAGAACAAGGAGCAGAACAGACAGACCGACAAAATACACTGCTGAGGGGAGCAGCAGGTGCAGCAGGAGAGGGCTGCGTGCCATGTGGGACCCTCCCCTGTGGCTGGAGATGGAACCAGCGCTGCAGAGGCTTTGGCAGCTTTGCAACCCAATGCTCAACCGCTGCACCACCAGGGGAGTCCCAAGTCACAAGATTTTAATCCTTGTTCAGTTCTAGCACTAATTCACTGTATGCCCTAGGAAATCATTAAAATCTTTTTCAGCTATAGGAGACTTGAAGAATATCTGGATTTTATGCAACAATGTATTTGCAAAGTCTTACATATAAAAGGAATAAATATTATTGATAAGTATCAAACAACCAAAATTAAGGTTTCTTGTCCCTCTGGTACTCTATCATTTTAAGATAGTAACTTACTCTAACATTGACTCATATTTGGAGCTACTTGGTCTCTTTGTTTTCTAAAGGCCTTCAAAAAATCCAGACCCTTTCTACAATGCTAAAAAGGTAGCCATTGCTAGTAATACACAACATATGCATAAGCAATAGCTTATACAATATGAGTATTCATGTATTTGTGAATGCACAGGTGTGGGAGTATATACACACACTGGGTTACTGAATTATCTTTGTAGATATGTGTATATGTGTGACTACACAGATCATACAACATACTACAATATACAAATGCATGCATATGAAATGTGTTTCTTTGAAGTAAAATAGTTTTTTTTTTTAAGATTTATTTATTTATTTATACAAGCACTGGGTACAGTCAGAAGTACGGGAGGGTGAGGGAATCCACCAGAGCTAGAGCGGGGGGCAGAATAGGCAGACCGACAAAGTACACTGCTGGGGGGAGCAGTGGGCGCAGCAAGAGAGGTCTGCACGCCATGTGGGACCCTCGCCAGTGACCAGATATCGAACCCGCACTACAGAGGCTATGGGTAGCTTTGCAGCCCAGCACTCAACGCTGCACCTCCAGGGAGGCCCTGAAGTAAAATAGTTATAAATGCAACATAGTAGTAATAAAAAGCATTTCAGGTTTCCAAAGACATACAGAAGGAATCTCCTGAAAAGAAGCCTGTAATTCTTTTTTTTTCTTTTTTTAAAGATTTGTTTATTTTATTTATACAAGAACTGGGTACAGTCAGAGGCGTGGGAGGGTGAGAGAATTCACCAGAGCCAGAGCGGAGAATAGAACAGGCAGAGTGACGAAGTACACTGCTGAGGGGAGCAGTGGATGGCAGAAGAGGTCTGCGTACCATGTGGGACCCTCAACAGGTGGCCAGGGATCAAACCAGCGCTGCAGAGGTGGCGGGCAGCTTTGCAACCCAGAGCTCAACCACTGTGCCACCGGGGAGGCCGAATACTATAATTCTTATCTGTACAATTTGGATTAGGAAGAGAGAGAGGAGATGGAACAAACCTCTTAAGTTTATCTCAAATCCACTTCTCTCACCTAAATTTTCTACTTTCCCAAATGATAGAACTAATGTACAATCGCTGATTTGTAAGAAAGATGTAAGACTTCTCCAATATGGTTGAAGTTATTAGCATTCTTAACAACAACAACAAATTAAAAGAAAATATAATATTTATTATATTCATTTGTGTATAAAAACATGGAAATAATATATAATAACAAAGTAATAATGATTTAAAACATAATAAAAATAAAGTAACACAAAAGTCCCTCTCATACATGGTGCAAAGATGAAAAAAGATGTAAGAATTATATAAAATAAAATATTTAAATAAAAAAGTCCTTCTCATTTGATTAGCTTATAAAGCTAAATAGCTATCTTATATACACCATTATATCACTTAAGACAATTAGGTTGGGCTTCCTGGGTGGCGCAACGGGTTCAGCGAAATGCTGTGAAGCTGTCTGCAGTCTCTGAAGAGTGGGTTCAATTCCCAGCTGGCAAGAGAGATTCCCACATGGCGTGGCAGACCTCTCCCGTCGCGCTCACTGTTCCGTCTGCCTGTTCTGCTCCCTGCTCTGACACTGGTGAACTCTCTCACCCTCCCATTCCTTTGGTCTGTACCCCAGCTCTTGTATAAATAAATAAATCTTAAAAAAAAAAGAAAATTAGGTTAACAAAATTAACCTGATGAGTATCACACCATTGGTTTGTTTCAAAATACAGTCCCTGATCCTATGAATCTCACATACTGGAAAGAGTTTTAAACATTATCTGATTACAACACCCATTTCTCCACATAAGGCTTGAGTCCCTCTGTAGCTCCCTACCTTTTCTTGAATTTCAGTCCACTACATTTCTGAACTCTGTCATATGGTCCTTCCTTCCTGGAAACTCGGTATCTGACTCCTTGTAGTGCTGAGTCACTGGTTTTTATTAGATACATAATCTTTGGGCTATAAAGCACCTTTAATTTAAAGGTCCCTAATAAAATGCCTCAACCTGATGTGTC